CGCCGCCGTCGTTTCAGGTAGCGGGCGGCGTGGCGTGACGGCTGCAAGATAGAGATAGCGGCAGGTGCATGAGGACGTGACGCGCCGAGACGTGGCCCCGCGGCCATGGTGGGCGCACGCTCGCACACGTGCCGTCGGTCCTCTCCTAGCGCAGTTACGGCAGGCAGGGCAGTTCGACAGGAGCTGATGCAGTGTGGCCGTGTTCGATCGCTGGCCGCGACGGCCACGCAGCGCCCACACCTTGGGTCGACAGCGCGCCGCCGGACGTCGTGTTACGCACTGCTCGCGTCCGCATTATTATTGCGTAAAATGAAGGAAGTCCGCATACGCGTACAGGTTTGGGAATGGTAATGTACTGTACATTCCGGTTATGTACCTGGTTCCTAATAAACTAATAAAATAATTAAAGGGCCTCTTGTGTTGCGTTCACTCGATGCTAGGCTAGTAGTGAATGAAATCCACCAGCCCTGCGAGAAAAATAATTAAGCGATGTGTTAGGCTAATACTCCAAAACTGTAGCGTTTTTTGTATATTTTATTCAAAATTTTATTTTATTTTTAAAAATTTTGCTAGATCATATAATACACACTTAATTGCTAAAAGTGGCATAGAATTAGTCGCTTAAGCTTTCACCGCTGCCCACAAAATATCAATTTTTCTATATAAACTATATATGTGTAGTGGTATTGTTTTATAAAAACATAGGAGTACTTAATCAAATCGCCAATATTAGTATGACGTAATATTTCAGTCAATGTGTATTGTTTTTATTGAGGAACAATTAATGTGTATTGTTGATATAATAGTAAGATTAACAAACTAGTAGCCCACAGTACGTCAGCATATGGATTCAAAGCCGGCGTCATCTCGAAAGAAAATGCTCTTGATGACGTGTGCACAGTGACGAAAGACGAAATGGATCAGAGACGTTTAGTAGCAGGGGACATTGATAGCACGCGCGCGTCTCGGGCTCTTCTCGGTTGGTGGTAGCCCCCCAGCAGCTTGTGCGAGCCGCTCCGCGCCATGGTCCATGGCGAATGGAACTACGGCTAGTGCAGTCAGGAGCCAGTACGCGTTCTTCCTTGCGAAGTCCACGTGCACCCCGCATGAATCATATGAGCGTTGAACTTGGAAGTCAGCTGGGACTGGGATCCAAGCCGATCGACCTCTCGTGATCTCGTCCACAATTCACGCGACATGCGCTGCTTGTTTCCCACGAGACGAGGACGAGGCATCGTACGTGCTGTGCCACAGGACACGAAGCTTCTCATCTTCAGCTTCTAGCAGCAATCAAATGCACCATATGCATGTCGTGAGCAAAGCAGCTCAGTATGAGCTCACCGTGCAACCGCTCCGACGCCTTTCCAGATCGTCGTCCGCGTCACCCGTCCGTTGCAGCAACAGAACGAAGTACACAACCGAACGCGCGCGTACGCCCGCCGTTGCCATCGATCCAAGAAACAACCGCCTGCATGCATGCGCGCGATCCATGGCGGGGCTTGGCGTTGATCGGGCCATCTAACTGCCCGGGACGGACGCTGCCGCCATGCATTCTGTTACAGTTCCTTTTCTTCCCCGGGACGAAAGGAACGCCAGCTGAGCTGACACAAACCGCAAGCCCACCATGGAATCGCTTTTTGTTGTGATCAGTTCAGAGTTACTATCTGGGGGGTCCAAAGGAGTACGTATCTCGGACGTTAGAAAATCTCGGATTCAGTTCAGGTCTGATTTCAAACGGCAAAAGCTAGACGGGCGACGCCAAGTCGTGACTCGTGAGTGTATGGGGAGGCCATTTCCCAGTTCCCAGTCTGCTTGCTGCAATGCTCAAGTCAAATGCATGTGCAGCTCAGACCACAGGGGAGGGGAACATGACCGTTCGTACCATGCACTCTGAATATCTGGCAATTTCGTTGCATTGCATGGCATCAAATTTTAAAAAAAAATCTTGAAAGGCGTGACAAGTGCTGCTGGGTCAACAAAGTGTGCGAGGCCGAAGTGGCCATCCACGTTTCTATGGGTTGTTCAGACGTTTGCGCCCTATCTTTTTTCCCGTTTTCAGCGAGCCTGCTGCTCTCTCAGCAAGTGGGCTGATCAAAGTCCTCTATGGGCCAAGGCGATGGCTCATCATTCACTCTGTTCGTTTGGTCTCGTTTAACAAACCATGGTTGAAAGATTATATTGATTAATTTAATATGAGAGAAAAATATCGCTCGTTGGCTACCAAAAAGACGTCTTTATAGGTCAAATAAGTCCAAATGAACAGGGCGACCGAAGCCGCGACTTGCACGCCAAGTACTGTACCTACGAAAACTTAACGCTTGACCGCTCGGGCCAACTGTGAGAAAGGCGTGGAGAATGCAGAAAGAGTGGACCGACTGCCGGGCGATAGGCCGGCTCGACAGTGCTTTTGACATTGCGGCGGTAATGCTGTCTGCCAGAAACGCCAGTTTTTACTTCGTGAAAGTTTAAGAGACGACTTGACAGTTGACAAAAGTTTGCAATGTCAAAAGGACGGCCGACGGGGTAAACTCTTGACCGTACGTGTAAATGCAATCCATATTTTTTAGAGACAAAAACGCAATTATATAATAACAGGAATAAAAACTGATATTATCATAGCGCGATCATGCGTGATGCTGCATGTCTTTTTTTTTTCAGGTCCAAAAATACTGTCAACTTAAACCTTAAAACCAATGTTTTAGATAACGGGCTAAACCAGCTGCAGTCTTCTTCATCAGAAATCATAAAAAGTTACAACAAGATAAAGTGGAAAATATTTCCATTTAACGGTTTTTATAGGAAACATGAGAATTCTTGATTATTTTATGCATAGAATAGAAATATGTGGCTAATTAAGACAAATTTATGAACATAAATACTCAAATACATGGACATAGCCTAGGATAATATATCTCCAAATCCAATACTTAGAATTCATAATCAACTATTGGCTACGATGAACATTAATCATTCAACAATCAACGACTCAATAATTATTCAATGGTTCATCACACAATTTGTTAAGTAAAAAACACAACGAAAAGGCATAGGGCGTGTTTGGGACGGATTTCTGGACCGATGATCGCGAGAACAAAAAATAATCGCGCCAAACACCGCGCGGCACCGTCGATTGTTTTAACCGTGATAGACACATCGACCGCGAGAATACACTAGCCGTCACGTTTTCCGCGCCGCGAGCTATCAGACGCATTTTGGATACCGCACCGCGCATTCTGAGCATCTCGGTTCCAACACGCCCATAGATTACAGTCATCAAGAAAAAAATATTTGCCATAGTCAGGGTTAGCGATGCTTAGATTAAGAGCTAAAGCGTTAATAGCAACAAAAGAGAAATAATTGATAATATCTAGTGTCTGATCCAATAAAAAAAACTGTAGTTAGCGGACTATTTATTTAGAACTAATGATCTCCACTCTCAAATATCAGTCTCTGAGAATGGAGCAAAGCGTTGGTTCGGCTTGCCTGGGCTATTGGCCCATCCAAGAACTGGGCCTGTTCTAAGACAGGCTGGACCAATTTGCCCACAGGCTTCATTTGCAGGTGACGATCGGACGTTCCCGTGGTAAGCGGCCGAAGAAGCTCTCGACGGACCACAAAGAGCATGGCGCGGTGGTGCCCATCCCGTAGTCATGTCTGTGCCCGAGCACGACGCGACGGGACGCTGCAATAGCGGCTATCCATAGCAGTCTAGCGCCGCCGCCCGTCGTCGGTTAGCGTCGCTCTCAGACGGAGGCAGTCGGTACGTGTGTGGGTAGCCGGTAAAGTAACGAGGTGGCGAGTTGGTTTCGGCCGCGTCGGCCTCGAGGCAGACGATGATGTCACGGTGATGTGACGAGGCGCCAAACGGACGCCCACTGCCACTGGATCTTTCTTCACGTATTTGAATATGACCTCCCAATATATAAATAAAAATACTCCATAAAAGAGTTGTTTTAACTTTGTAAAAAGAATCTTCAATTGTTGAACAATCCTCCTGGGGTCAAGTGCTGCAGAACCCATGGCGCATCACTGGGATGGAGAAACCAACCATGCTAAGCTCTCTGATGTTGGCTGCCACTCAAAGCTGGATGTACTGAAGTCGTCCTAGTCGCTGTTCTTCTGCCTCTGTTCAGGGTTGGTATGCGGTATGCCAATCCCCTATGCTTAGCGGTTGCACCGTCTTTTGACTGACTTTAGTTAAAAGACGGGGGCATAGCCCTAAACCTTAAAAGAAGAATCTTCAATTGCGTTTCACTTTGTTGCATTGCGTCCCAACTGGATCAGCATACAACAAAACAACTCGCTGAAAACAGTGGTAGCCACGGCCCTAAACCTGGGACCAAGACTGAAACAAAAAAGTTTGATGGCCCTTGCAGCAGGCAGAACCTTTACAGCGCTAGAGTAAGATTTCCACTCTATCAGAAATCAGGATGCATCAAAGCAGATACCATGACTCCATGAGCAAGTCAGGATAAACAACTTCCGTGTTAATATTTTGCCATGAAAACACCTGTATCAAGCCAACAACCGTCTCCCTTTCACAATACAAACACTCATCACCACTCGAGCACTCCACACAGAAGAGTAAGCACGCAAACGACAAGCTCTTTTCATATCTACAGGAAGCTTATCTTTGGGTCAAGGCTAGGGATTTCTGTATACACCAACTGCGGCGACTGCAGGTAAGAGGGGGCTTCTATGGTTGATATGCACTCAAAAAATTACATGAATCAGCTACACTCAGTGAGGTCGGTCGAGCAGATTAGGAAACGCTTCACACCCATCAAATGGTTACAGCTTTTTATTACCTGTAGCACAGTCTCCGGTGAGAAAACATGAGTCCGTGTGATGTTAGTGACCACCAGCGTGGCGAGGCAAACTGATCTACAATTGTGTTGGGCTCTGCTTTTGGTTTCGTTGTAGCATATGAGTTTGCAAACTGCAATTTTTGACCTGTTTTTCCAAGCAGATAATTAACACCGAACTAAATATAAATGACATTAAGGAAATTGAGTAAGAATGATCATAGAAGATGTCTTTACATGTATTGCTGCAACCGTGGACAAGAGATCCTTTGATTGGTCCAACAACATTTGTTCTTGTGTTGCAAGTTTGGCAAGCTCAGACACCACAGAGCTTGTTCCCTCGACCTGAAGATGAATAACGTATCATTAGAGATTTCTGCAGTAAACGTTAGACATCAATATGTAATGTGTGCCCATGTAAGACTAAATGCCTGTAAAACTGAGTTCATGAAGCAATGAATCACATCACTAACAGAACAGGCAATGAATCCATAGTTGCTATTTGTCGTCACTACAACCATAGGAATGCACAATATATTGCCAAACATTTGAAGATGCTTGTTGTCCAGCGGGCAGCCAATATAAGCTGCTTATTTAGCCAGAAAACAGTGATATCATATTTCAACATGTCTAGCATGTGTTCCTTTTCCATTAAATTTACATGAAACAATAGTTCGCTTAGAACAAAGTCCATGTCGCTGCCCTGCCTTTTATTTTCTGAAAACCACAAATGTAAGCCTGGTTTAATTTGAAGTTATAAACTTCAGAAGGTATCGCAATGCTACATAGATCAAGATATAGAGTTAAACAGTCCGTACTCAAGATAATTAAAGGAATCAGAACATTGAACGCAGATATATTACATCAGAAGATGAAATACACTGGTATTGAAATCAGAGGACACCAAGCAGCACAATTACTACAAAACACACCAAAACATTGTCCTCTCCATTACATTTATAAAATACAGCCATAATGTTGGTAATCAATACGAATTTCTGTATGAACACAGCAATCCATCAGGGGGGCCATATAGGAGCATTTATCTGGAGGAATTTACAATTTAGGACCGGGTGGAGCATATATTTATTTGGAAACATTTTCAGATTTGGGACTGAGGATTTTTTTTGCCATTGGTATAATATAATAAGAGATGATCCAAGGGAGGGAAAAAGTATCAAAGCTCTGTAGGAAGATAGGGTAAATATACACACCTTAGACAACAAATTACATATCGAGGATGTCGTTGTGTGCATTACATCCACTGCTGAATTAACTGCTTCCTTCACAGCTTGCGCATCAGCCTGAACAGATATAGGTAAGTATTAGTTTGTGAACATCAAATCATGCTACATAATTAGATTTGATCAGCCAGTTGCCAACCTTTGCACCATCAACAACTGGAAGACGAAGAGTACTAGCCTTCAGAGCTTTGATTGCTGCTGATAAAGCACTTGAATGATGTTTTTCGATATGAGACCAGTCCTCTAGATATGACATCTGAACATGTCAAATGGAATAGATATATAAGCTATACAAAGTCAAGCAGTAATTCAAAATCCTAGTGCAAGCCACATAAACAGTTTAAACAACAATATAACATATCACTTGCCTGTCCCCTAAGAATAGCAAACAGCTTGAGCTTTTGCTTTTGAAGCTGGAGTCTGCTCCTTTTGGTACTGACATTGTCACGCAATCTTGATATTTCTTTCCATGCACTGTGAAGGGTTTTCTGAAAAAAGGAGCAATAAGAAACATTAGTTTATAACACTTAACCGTTTTTTGTTCTCTTACCACAAAATTATCATATTTGTTTAATCCACCATGACCATTATTATTTGTATATTTACAGTCTGAGTATCGCAGTGTAAAAAAATCTGCATATCTTCATCGCGTTCTTTTATACATAAATATCCTTATTTAATCCATTATTATGCAAAACAGTAAATTGAATAATTTCACTATGTTTCGCCACAAGAGATAAACCACCATCCAATATAGCAAGGGCGCAAGGCATTGACTTGTAAGCAGTATGCACACTACACTGGAGTTTCAGGCGACTAGACTCGCGTAGATTTTGACAATACACAGTGATGCATCAAAAGCTCAAGACATGCAAGTAATCACAACACATGTACCACAGGTAGATTGATGGCTTGTGTTGTGGATAGTGCATATAATACCATTATTCAAGAAACTATTCTACAAGATCTTTTTCTTTTATTCCAGAGACCAAGTTATTCAGGTAACTGCCATGCAACATTGCATATCTGGCATTCTGGCTTGGCAGTTGGCACCACTTCTTCCCACATAAGTTGCGATAGCGGTTGCTTCCCTAGCAGTATGGTAGCAAATAGCATAGTACCCTTTCATAACCTAATGGTACAGAAAAGTGGCAATGGGTATGCGCCAAACAATAAACTAAGAATTGTACTAATGACAAACTAAAAGTGGAATTTAGGTATGTTCGGGTTCCAATAAATCAATAAAGAAAGTGTGGGCATGAACAGATATTGCATATCAAACTAGTTGGTGCAGCATAAGCCTAGAGATATTTACTCAATTGAAACCTATGCATGCCTAGATGACACCTTAATTTATAATTTCTCGCTGAAAACACCAAATAACAAATTTTAGCCCTGCTATTTCGTGTACTGTTTAGGTGTGGAACTTGTGTGTGATTACTACAGTCTGAAGGTCCATCCATAGTAGGAAGTTTTTTGTCATGATTGCTCACTATCTGCACCAAGTGTTGCCAAAATTCATTCTTAGAAAATAATGAGCAAGCTATTGATAACTCCTTTTGTTCTATTTTAGTGCACATTTCAGGGGCAGGTCTATGCTTGTGGGCTGTGGGTGTGGCTCCACCCAAGTCCAAATCAAAACTCCAGCCAGCGGGCAAGCAGCAACGAAGTGCCTCAGCCCTATCAATTTTGCTCTAGCTTTGCCCCTAGCACACTTGCAATGCATCCACCCCAATCTTCCAATGCAATAACCTTAAGCAGAGCAGGCAAGGACCAGGTTCTGTGGTTCCAACTACGAAATTTCTTCACAGGCTCCTACAGCCTTCCCAATGGCAAATTGGTAATGTTACTAAAAGAGGAAAACACAGAAAAAAAATTTATACCGTTTCATGCTGCGAGTACTATTTAGTATGAATTGAATACTCTATCCTAAGAAAATGTTTAGGCAAACTACATTAAATTGAACAGATTGTTTTAACTATTACTTGTATTCCTCTCTAATCTAACTATTATTACTTTTTTCTCTCTCTCCCTCTTACCTAAAGTGAAATGCATGGATAAACATAAGATCAACATCAAGGTTTGATTTACCTCAGCAGTGAAGCTCTGAACCAGTAGCGTCGCATCTGTCCGAGCATTGATGCATCGCCACTGCAAATGCCGATTGTCCAGCAGGCGCAATCGGTGCGCCTCCTCAATTCTGTTCTCCCCCCTTTTCGCCCTTCTCACCTCTGCCGCAAAGCTGATGATAGATGGCGCATTTGCTGGAGCCTGCACCATATGCCCATTTGGCGACGCCTCCCCACTGCGCCCTCTTGATGGACTCGCGGCACCCCTGCTTCCACGGCATGGAGATGGGGACCGGCCCGGCAGCCTCGGTGACATTGGGCTGTCTGAAAACGACCTCCGGCCAGACGACGGTAGCAGCAGCCCGGGCTCTGGAAGCCGGCGCAGGCGGCTGTTGGTTTCCTGCCAGAACCTCGCCGGCACGCTGATGCCGCGTCGCGGGGGATCACCGGCGCCCGAGTTGCTACCAGACGAGACGCTGTCGGTGTCGGAGGACGCGGAGAGGTCTGGAGCGGCTGCAACTGCCGGGTCGGACGGCGAGAGGGATGTGGTGGAGTCGAAGGCCATAGAGCGGCGGAGGAGGTGAACGGCGGCGAGGATGGAGTCCTTGCGGTCGAGGCTGCAGTCAAGGCTGCGCGCGAGCGGGTCCGACGCCTTGGGCTTCGCCGCCGGCCATCGTCCCGACGGCCGCGCGTTCTCGGCCTCCGGCACGGAGGAGACGCTCTTCCTGCGCTCCGGCGTGGGCCCGCGGCGCGCGGCAGGTGAGGACGGCGACGAGGCCCGCGGGGCGCGCGACGTCTTGTAGAAGAAGGACTCCCCTGGAACGACACGGAGAGGCTCCGCATCGTGGTCGCAGTGGCGGATGCTGCCGCGGCCGCGGCCGCCGCCGCCGACGCCGACGCGGTGGTGGTGGTGGGCGACGTGGAGTGCTGCGGCGGAGGAGTAGACGCCCGGGTGCGCTGCGCGGAGAGGGAGCGGCGGGACGAGGACGAGGAAGACGACGACGTGGAGGAGGCCGGGGACGCGGCGGCGGCGGACAGGTACCTCGAGGAGACGGGCTTGTTGGAGCGCTGCGAGTTCCTCCGCGCGGCGGCGGAGTTGGGCTTGTCGAGCGCCGGCGTGAGCGGCGGGCGCGAGGGGTGGGCCGGATCTGGCGCGGTGGCCGCCGCCGCGGCAGCCACCATGCCGTGCCGGTGCCGCGGCAGGGGACGGGGGAGATCTGGCTACGCGCGGCGGCCCCGCTGCAATGCAGGTCCCCCGGGCTCCAGATTCGCCGACCCAGCTCCCGCTCCTGCTCGGGCCCTCCGCTCCCGGCGGCGGCGGCGGGCGCCCTCCGGATCGACGACGCGCCTGCGAGGACGAGGAGAAGCAGCAGCGAACTGGTGAAGCAGTGTTTACAGTTTGAGGGGGATGGGAGGAGGCAGGGGAGGAGTGAAGTGGGGGGATTTTGCGTGAGTTTTTTATTTTTTATTTTTTCCCTCCTCACTCCTTTTGCTGTTGTTTTGCTCGTTTTTGTGTCTTGCTTTGGGTTCGGGGATCTCTGCCTTGGGTTGGGCAGCTGATTCTCCTGCTCTTCAGTTGCGCTGCGCCTGTGTGGGTGTGGTGTGGCCATGACGCTGTCCCCAGTCTCCCAGGGAGGGTGAGACCTGGCGGTGTGTGTAAGCCTTTAACTTTTTATTTTATTTTATAAATTTTCTCTTTTTTTTCAAAAAAGTTTGTTAAAATGTTTGCACTGACGTGAGAGTGACAGTGCCATTTTGGTGCAACACATTCTCAGTGGGGTAGCATGTAAAAACCGTGAATTTGGTCACAACGGTTGTTGAAGGAACATATGCGATTTGACAAGGGGTACATATTTAGAAGAGAAGAAAACATGAAAGAAATGATGTTTCCGTCTGACCATTTTATCACTACTATGGTTGGAAAGCAACACGTGTGCACATGGTTGAATCAAGATGACATTATGGTTTTGTTTTATGACAAGGTTGAAAATGATATAAATTAATGTCGCATGAGAGAATTGTAATGGTGCAAACTTTAATCCGCTAGAAGTATCAGAAAAATAATGTTTGCGCGGTTGTGGATTGGGAAGGAAAAGTAGCTCTGGAATAACAGCTGATAGAAATATTAGGTTAGAAGGAATTGTATAAGTATAGGTTGGTTATGGTTTTGGTTTTGATTTTGAATGACAAGCATTACGGGAGCTAAAGAGCTTAGGTAGGTTTAGGTTAGCTAAACTAAAGTCATCTACTAGTAGTACTAGTTTAGGGCGTCATTGAAGTAATGGAGGGACGTTTACATTGTTTATTCATTACCTGTACCAATATGAAGATCCATACCATATTGTTTCGTGGCATGTACTTACCTGAGTTCGTTATTTTAGTGTTCTTGACCTAATTTATTAGTTTTTAGAGGGACAAAGCTCAATTTGGAGAACTAAAGATGAAAAAATGCCAAATCACGCTGCACAATTCTTTGAAAAGAAATAAGTTAATGCTACTATATACTACCGTCTATTTTGCAAACCATATCCACAATATAATCACTTATTTAAAAGTAGTAAATGTCTTGCTCGCACTACTGAAGTAGCTATTCTAGGCTTGATGGGCAAAAAAAAATTTGGGAAAAAAATCATCATTATAAAATCTCTCTAGTTCGCATTCCATATAAACACCAAACAAATGCTCTCTGGAATGTTACTAAAGACGTTGAGCCACCACGCATGATTCTAACCGAATAGTGGACTGATTAGCGAGTTAGGTTTATGGTTGGACGCTCCGATCGCTGGGGATCACGAGTTGATCGATTGCGATAACACGAGTCCACCTCATGCGCTTGCACCACACATGCACTATATATGTGTGTTCTGGTTCTGATGGCTACTTGCAATCTCAATTCCTGAGCCGTTCTCAGCTTACTTAGGTTAAACGTCACAATTATTGAATAATATATATATATTTATTTATTTATTAATCACAACCCAACCTTTCCTTGATGGATGACCCACCAGAACTACATACACTACATACCCTTAACAAAAGCTTTGGTATAAAAATGATATGAACAAAACTTCATTTCGGGAAAAAAGTTGATCTACAACAAGACTACCTTGAAACATATGACAGGCTAAATCATGGTTATGTATACAGTATATTTCTTCTCTTTTCTGCACACAAATGATAAAACAGCCGTGGATTGGACACAAAAAGCAAACAGGGGAAAGCTGGCCTTTTTAATTAGGTAAAGTTTTCTTGCTGGAACTTTTGTACTGAATCTCCGAAATTCTCAGACCATGTTTAGTTCCACCAAATTCCTAACTTTGACACTATGCAAAAAGAAGATTCTCCGTCACATCAAACTTACTTGCATACACATGCATGGAGTACTAAATGTTGACGAAATCAAAAACTAATTGCACAGTTTGGTTGTACTTTGTGAGATGAACGTTTTGAGCCTAATTAGTCAACGATTGGACAATTATTACCAAATAAAAACAGAAACGCTACAGTGCGCTACAGTGACCTCTCTTCCCAGCGGCGTCAACTTCGGCCAGCAACTAAACGCGGCCTCAGATGGGTGTCCTGGAGGATCTCTTTAGTATAGGCAATAACTGTTTTTTTTTAATTATCAGGTCTTTTGCAATATGATTGCTTATGTGACCCATGAGAAAGATGATCACCCTAGAAAGTCAGCATATATGTTAACACGACACACACCACTCACCAGTTAGTTGCTTTCTTTATAATATATAAAAAAGAAGTGTTATCATGACTGCTAGAATTATGATAACTGTGCTCTATATTTTTTTTTTAAAACCAAACGGGGGGGAGAGTTTCCCCACCAAATTTCTATTTCAAACCAAGCCAACACTCCATTTAACTGGAGTGAGCAGTAGCACTATGGAAAAGTAAATAAAATTCACAAAGTTCTGGTTTCTTCATGAACAGCCATAAGCATCAACCATTAATTCAATGTACGCTAGCTCTAAATCTAACAGAACCCAGACTGGTTTAAGAACGTCATTTTCGCCCCCTTTCTTTGGTTTTAGGTAAACAGTAGCTTTTTAACAATAGCTTGGAACTGCACTTTGCAGCGTGTTAGCTCCCTACAATAATCCCTTTCTCCCTCTGTTATGCCTGCCAAGATCTGTCTCGTGGCGACTATAATATTCTCGCTAAGGAGTCATCCTCAGACGGGCACTTTCTTTTCCTAATCGCATGCTTGCTTAGCATCTAACCTTCCTAATGCCAGCTTTTCTTGAGAGTGTCGTGTGAGGTCCAGCAGGCACCACTAGAGAGAATCACCATGTTCGTTTGTTGGTTTCAAATTGACTTATTCAACTAACAAATGATGTTTTTTTCTTTCACACCAAACCAAAGACCACCAAATCCAAACTAGCTTTCGAAACCAACCAAATAACACGCACGAGAGATGGCAAGAGGATGTCAAATCGTAGGAGAGAGGCCTGTCGAGTAACAGTAATTCAGAAAAGGGCGTTTTCAACCATTTGCCAGAGGAGATGAGCTTGTCATGATGTAATAACAAGGGGTCGAATCTCATATTTTAACTATCTTTGTCAACGAAGCTCCGTCTAGCTAACTCGTTCTGCCCAAAAAAAAAACAAGGTAAATAAAATTATAGAAAGTCAGAAAATATAGCTGTCGGCTGCTTAGTCTGTGACTGTTGTTCAATATATAAACTGCACGGCTAGTAGTGTTGACAATTTGACATACAAACCTTGACTGATTGCACTTTAAATCTGTGGTAATGCTCATCAAGTGATGGTGTCTATGGCGCACACCAAGCACATTGACGATGTTTTTGGGGAACCGCAAGGTAGTTTTGTTTTCCGACCAAAAACAGGCCACATGGATGAGGCCTAAACGTCAATCACATGCCAATTTCTTAACCAAACTATGAACTCCAGATCGGTCGCTATATATAAAATATGGCGCATACATAAATCACATAGCCATGTGACTTGCCCGGCAGGTCGAGTTGTTTATATCATTAACCCAAAAAAGGCAGATACTGGCACTACGCATTATTGCGTCACAGGAATATGGCCACAGAAGAAGTACTATATATTATGGAGGCTGCCCTGACTAGCTATATATATACTAACGGAATTTTGGGTTCATGATGCATGGGCAACATAAAAAAAACGCTGAGTTGGTTATTATTAATCCAGCCAGCATCCTGTCACATGACCAAACAGCAGTCGGTAGCAGCCACTATTTCAGCATTTCATGAAAAATCTTATGATTTAATCACTGCTGCTTCTAAGCTCTGATGCCGATAATAACATAACTTTGTACTCCCTTCGTAAACAAATGCAATTCTCGTCTAAAAAAATTTAACTCTAGCACAATACCTAGTTAAAATATTTTAAATTTAACTAACTATATATAAAAAATATTAATATTCATGATACTCCCTCCATTCCAAATTGTAACATGTTTTGATTTTCTATATCTATTAATTTTACTATGTACCTAAACATGGTGTATATCTAAGTCCATAGCGAAAACCATGTATCGACAAAAGTCAAAACGTCTTATAATTTGGAATGGAAAAGTATCAAATAAATATTATTAGATTTGTTATGAGATATATGTCGTCTTATAATTTGGAATGCAGGAAGTATCAAATAAATATTATTAGATTTGTTATGAGATATATTTTATATTATATCTATTTGGTGTCGTAATAATTTTAATAAACTTTAGATACTTTAATGAAGAAACATTTAATTTTTGTGATGGAGGTAGTATATCAATGTATTCTATGACGGCCAAAAGATGAAGGTGGTGGTGGTGGTGGTAAGTGTAGTTGGACAAATGCAGCTCACCAAACTCGGCGGCACCGCGCCCTGGTCATGTATTGGGGCAGGACGGTCCTGGGCGCGCGGCGGTGTGTCGTTCAAGCAAGCGGCCGCAGCACGTGCAACGCCAACGACGCGCACGCCAACCACCCGCGGCGCGCGAGCACGGGGAATGGCAGGCCTGCCAAAGTGCCAAGGCCACGTACGCATATGTCGCCGTCCACCGGAGACCGTCCGGCGTCCGTGGACCGTGGACGTAGAGACCACGCGGAGTAGCCTAGTAGTAGCAGTTCCCTCGCGGGTCGAGTCATCAACCTCTTCTTTTCGCCCCGGCCGCGGTTGTTGTCTCGTTTATCACGTGAGTACGTGACAGATGGCCGGTGCGTCCGTGTACATGCTTCAGCTATCGCTAGTGACTTGTTGATTAGCAGGCAGTCCGCAGTTGACACTACACGGTATCACAGGCTCACAGCTCCGCGTTTCCTAGGCTTTAGTTAGTTGTGTGTCAAGTCTTTTTTTTCAAAAAAAAAGTAGTATAGTACGAGTAGTCCAAGGAGCAGTTGAGACTTGAGTTGAGAGGCATCGTCGTCAGTACGTGTGTACGTATCTCGATCACTGTTTTGCAACCTACGCTAGCTAGCTAGCTATCCGTGACTATAAGCGGGTGTTTAGTTACGCCAAATTTCAAACTTTTGCACATGCAAAAAGAAGATTCTCCGTCATTACATTAAACTTCTTGCGATACATGTATGGAAAGACTAAATATTGACGAAATCAAAACTAATTGCACGCTTTAGTTGTACTTTCTGACGAGATGAACGTTTTGAGCCTAATTAATCAACGTTTGGACAATTATTACCAAATGCAAACGAATGCTACAGTGAGCTACCGTATTACAAGATAACTTTGCTTGGCGCCCGAATTCGGGCCGAACTAAAACTAAACGAGGGCTAACTATATTTGGCTTATAAGCCGTACTTTTTCAGTTAATAAACAGTATTTTTCTTTCACAACAAATCACCAAAGTAATAATTTTTTCCTGGCTTATCGCCCAAGTCGAACAGGGCATTAGTATTTAGTACTATTAACGAGTACCAATTCGCACGTACGTACAGCGTGGTTGCTTCAGCAACTAAAGTTGCTTATAGCTTATTAATTACCTAATACCACCGACGCTACTTACGTGTCAGTTGGTTGTCACGTATGGAGAGTTCAGATCAAGCATGATAATAAAGGTGGCGTGTGTGCACTACCGTGATAACTAACTGAAACAAAACACGATCACCCACCGGAAAAAGCTAGCTCTAACCAAACGTACAGTTGTAACCTGTACGTACGTGGTTGGCACCTGCTCGTATGTACGTAGTACATGTTACTGCCCTAAACCCAGTTGGACCAAAAACTGGGAGAAGATCGCTGGACGGCTGGAGTCGAGTACCTGTCGTGCTCGATCAGAGACGACGGAGTAGGCTAGGCGGCTTGGACTTTGGACCCGGCGCATCCACCTACCACTCTACCAGAGGCAGCAGGTAGCTGTATCTCATCATCAGCTGGCGGCGCTAATCAACAAGGTCAACTAAACCACACCGTTTGCCTAGCAAAGCAACCAAATGAAACCCAGCTCTTCCTGCTTGCTGATCCACACCTCACCAGGGCCCTGCACCTCACTCACCCGACGGCGCAGCAGACCCCGCGCCCGGGCCACCGTTGGAGCCGAAAACCTCACGGCGTCCGCACCCGCACCCGCGGCGAGGCTGGAAAGCGAACGCGCCAGCCCAGCCGAACACGCCGCGCTGCTTCTAGTGCTAGTGCTCACTCGATGACTCCTTGGAATGGGACGCAGCTCGCACAAGCCGGCGGGCACAGCGGTGACTGCCTTTTTCGCCGCCAATCTTATCCGGAACTGTTCGCGGTGAGACTAGTCCGGCGAGGGGTTCCCTGGTCTCCGCGCAAACAGCCACGTTATCCCTGGTCCCCGCCCGCCCGCGCGCGGCCGGCCGGCCCGGCCTCCCGCAACAGTAGTGCTTGCCGGATACAAAAGCTGGCGCTGTAAAGCTATAGGGCCTCTAGCTAGATGGCATTAAGAATCCTCGGCTTTCGAGGGTAAATTGCCAATGCCATTGGCCCATTGCCATCTCTCACGATGGATCAGGGATTCAGGGTGCTGTGGACGGACAGACAGACCGACTATTGCAGCGTCAGCGTCAGCTGAGGCTACAGTGAAACAGTGAAGACCAGCTGTCTGGCTCACAAGTGACGGGTCAGCTGGAAGGACGGGTTGGAGATGGAGAGGGTGCTGCAGCATGCTGCATGCATAACGGGATCCGTCCCCGGATTGTACCATGGCTCTTTTACAGTTTTTTTTTTGAGCTCATGGCTCTTTTACAGTTAGTACAGGCCAACGAGATTGCGGTTGGCCAGTGATGGCCTCGGCAAGGACTGGTATCTGTTTTTCCATCCAACCGTGCGGGAAGGGAAGGGCGTCTGGGCATGGTCAGGGGACCCGGAGCACCAAGGGAGGTAGCGCGCGCAAATGCGCCAAGCCAGCAGCCGCACGGCACGCCGAGCCACCGGGGCAATGGATGGAACGGACGGGGAAAAGGGACCAAAAACCGCATGCTCCCCGTCCCCGCTCCCCGGTGAGTTTGGACCACGACCACCCGCCATGGCCGACCTACACGCTTGGCAGGATTCTTCTATCTCGCCGTCTTCCCCGCCGGCTCGATCTGCCTTCTCCTCCTCCGTCGTCGCATCCGTTGAAGTTTTAACCGCGGCATGCGTGCTGGCTGGCCCTGCCACGGACGTACACCTGGCGTGGGCCCTGGTTTGTGCTACTACCAAGTCCAACGTGCTCTGTGAGTGACAACGGAAATCGTACTACGGTCACAGTCACAGCCACCTTCTAGCGCGCTCTCTCTCTCTCTCCCCCTCCAAATTGACCTAACATGACGACAACGAATGTGCCGGAAGGAACTACTACTACCGGGGTCTGGGGTTCCTTCACAGATCATGCAAAAGCCATGTGGCCTGAATTTGTCCAAGAGCAGTGTGAATCGGCCAAAAATAATCCAAGAAAGATTCCATACCCTCACGAAAGACAGGCATCAAGTACAGTAACAGTACTACCCATAAAACATTGCATATTCTCCCAGATCTTGGACAAGAACAGATCCACCCCCAATGATCAGCTCCAATACTTCATTCACCCTTCCTTTCATTTCAGCTCTTTTTGACTAGTGGCGAATACATGGAGATGATGGCGGCAATGGACAGGAGATCGGACAGGGGAAGGCGTCAGAGTTCCATGATTGTGTTTTGCCTACGGTTCAGGCCCCTAGTACTCCCAACAGTACACACGTGCTTATTTTGCAATGCGTGTATTATATACAGTACTTGCAGGTACTGTAGCTAGGGTAAGGTTCTAACCATGTGCTTTGGACGTGCTTGTGTCTTGTCTGAAAATATCATACGTGTGTCAGTTTTCACTCATGCAGACAACAGAGCAGCAAGAGAAGCACAGCACACATTCGGGTTTTTTTTTTTCCGGAGAAATTCTGCCAACCTGCGGTCGGAGAAGCCCCTCTGATCCCGCAGACATCCAGCCTGTTCGGGAGGCCGTATCGTATCGTGGATTATTTACTGCTGGCTGGTTTGGTGTGAGAGAAAAACACTGTTTCCGGCTGGAAATTTACGATCGTTTACGAGCAAGCGAACAGGCTGATCGTTAGCGTCTCGGCATCTCGGCACTCCCGCGTCTAGGAAAATTCTTGGAAGAAACCATTAGTAAGGGTTTCCTAGGATTGGGCCTACAAACAATTCCAGCTTATCAAGATTATATAATTTTTTTTGAGACAATTATATAAATTATTAGGACTCGTTCAGTTATCCCAGATTTCACCTAGGAATCCTTCCGGCTGATCAAAGGTTATATAAATTAGCCAAGCATTCTAGCTAGAAATCATTCCACGCAACCATTCTCTGGGAACCGAACGGGACTTTAGTGAATCATTCCAACTGCTTAAGCAACCAAATGAGCCCTAACTGAGAAGCTATGCAGATATTCCGATGGCGATTTACAGGGGCGGGGCCAAGAACCCAAGAAGATGACGACACGAACAACGATCCCGGTGACAAGGATGCGACAACAATCGTGAGCTCTCGTGGACGTTTCGTTCTGTATTGTCTTTGGCTTTTGTGGCTAGGTGATGAGTACGTGCTTCACACACTGCTATTATGTGTGATTCGCGTATGTAAACGTCACAAAAACTGCTACCACACACACTGACACACCGACGCCTCTCTGAAATCACCAGAGTACCATCTACCTGACACCGATGGCCGCAACTGCTGTATCGATCCCGACGAACATAAACTGGCACGTGTACTCTTGTACAATACGTGGTCATCACTCATCACTACGTAGATTTCTTGGATGCTCAAGTGTAATATGCTATCCGGACAGGACAGGAGGCCTCAAATTCTACATAGTATTCCACATCTGAAATGCGAGTACGCCTACACGTGAGGGACAATATTGAAACTCGGTACTGTTCTACCAACATCATGTTCTCTTGCTCTGAAACCTAGCAGCTACTCTGCTGAAATAAAAAAACAAAATTCTTGGTCGTGAGTGGTATTGATCTGTTGGTCTAAAGTATAAACCCACAAGGTTGTAACCAGAAAGTGTGAACTCTTCATTCTAAATACTGAGAAAGCTAAAATGAGGAGATCTCCTCAAATAAAGGTGGCTCTGGGCCTATGATCATATTTGCAAGGGCCATACATACATGCTCGTCAACCAGGGGAAAAAAAAAAGATCAAGAGCAGAGTTGCATCTTGCTGACAGCTTATATACAACTCAAATGCATTGCATCCAGTTAATTGATAAGCTGATGTATTCAGAGATGCTCCTTAAATAAAAGGGAGAAAAAGGAGCAAGGAAAAGCAAAGGCAATGTCGAAAGCTCGCAAGATCGAGCATCTCAAGACTCCGAAGAAAACGATTCAGAACCCAAACCGCCACAGCAGCAGAAAGCAAATCTGAACTTTCAGAGGGTGCAAAGGTTTCAGCGGTACCTGAGGAGTTGGCGACCGGAACCAGAAGCGCCAGGAGCAGCTCTGCAGTCCAACCTCCTTGGCCTGCCCGTATAATCGACCAAACCTCACAAATGAGGCTCCAAAACCCAGCAAGCATCAGCTTTAGGGCCATTAAAGGCGGCCATTATTTGCAGATTAAGCTTTGTGAGGCCCCACACTGTTCCCTCCCCTCTCTGCACAATAGTACCTTTTTCCTTGTCCTCCCCCTTTGCTTCTAAGGAGGTTCTACTATCTTTTTTAGTATATGCCTTTAATCAATTCAGTCTTGGGGTCACATTAGTATCTCTGTTCATTTACAAACTGTATGCAGTAACAGCGTATCTACTTTCCTACTTATGTTTTAGTTTGCAAATACAGAACCCCATTGGCACTTGGCCATGTGCTAGTGCATGTGCGCAAAGGGCCGGTATCTAGCTGCTGCTGCTGCAGACCATAAAAGTGACAGCATCTTAGAAGAGCTGGACCATTGCACTGGTGAGGGTTCATGAAGATCTGTAGTCTTTTATCCAGTGTCACAGTAGTTTAAATGACTAAAGCTGGTATGGAATCAGAATAGTGCTACAGCTGATAGCATGTGACTTAGTACTGACTTTGATCAGCGCCAGCACAAGAACATTGAAGAAGCCAGGCAGTTCATCACTCGTCTCATGCACTGGGATAGTAGTAACTGGGAAGTTCAGTTTGAGGTACTGTACTGACGAATTGCCTCTTACTACAGGAAATGGTACGCTGAACCGTAGTCAGGTACCTTTCACTGAACGTGAGCATTTAAGTTTGTTGTACTCGTCTAACAGACTCTCACTCTTAACAAACTAGATCTCCTTTTTTTTAATCGCTATGTACTATCATGCAGAAGTGGCATACAGGGAAAGAAAAGAGAACTTGAGTACCATATCTTTACATGGCTTCATACTGAATACTACAGAAAAAAAAGAGCCTGTGGGATATATGTGCAATCATACTGGGGCTGCTATGCTAAGCTGTGCACGGCTGGAATAATTGTTTATGCATTATGATGCGTATGCCTTTGCATCAGCACGGCGTAACTACGAAGAATGCGAGTGACTTTGAGATAAGGAGCATCACCATTTGCTGTGGCAACAGCTACGCGCACAAACTTTCAGACGAGGACAACAGTTTGCAATCTCAATTGGCAACAGCTAAGCGTGTCTGCGTGTGCGCGGAACTTGACTCTTCTCTGTATATGTCCATATGCAGACGTGCAGTCTCTTGCTGACCTTATCCACGAGTTCATGTTCATGTTCATCAGCCGCCTTCTGCGAAACATACACCTTGCTTGCAGTTACGTTCATTGCATTATTCCTCTTGTATCCATGGAGACGAACGGCTTCATCATTGCTTGACGCTCTGTGTTTGCCATGCCCCATGCGTACAAGTTACAAAGGATGGTACCATTTAATTTTAAGATAGCACAAAGTAAAGTTCGACAAGCTTGGAATTCAATGCTCCAGTTTGTTGAGATCATTCGACTTAGTTGTTTGGTTAAGCCCATACTTCATGGCAAGGAAGTATCCATTCCATAGTCCTGAAATAATCTTTGCTTATACTGGAAAGTGGAAACGGACCACTCGAAGAATCCCAAATGCAGTTGCTTCACATATGCCCCAAGGAAAGTAGACCTTGTTTGTAGTGCTTGACTTGTATTGAAATCTATTCTCATCTGAAACTTAAGAATTTGTCAAAGCTGAATCCACTTTTCTCTTCGAAAGCTGTGCTAAATGGAATAATACAACCTTAAGAAGATAGTGAGGAAGGTCCTTGCTGTAAAGGAAGAAATGTTGGATGTAAATTACTAATTTGTTAAACATATGAGTTACAGATATCATCCAATGCAAATCTGCAATACATTTCCCCTTTGGATACTGGAATTCATAGTCTACAAGGATTTGGATGGACAAGCATGAACATGAGAGTGAAAACAGACTTCATTTCAAGATGCAGGACAGCTGCTATTTAAAATGATGAATCATGCAAAGGATCTACGATGTTAACTATCCAAGAAACTACTTTTGTACTCGGTCTGATAGGCTGATGTAACTAAAGCTATTGGAGAGACCGAGAGATGTCTACATAGTACAGCAGGCGATCAGTGGACACATCTATTTTCTGAAAAAAAGATAAACTGTTCACTGCAACAACAGCTTCTTAACAACTTATGAGAACACTGTTGAAAGAAACAACAGCAAAACCATCAGGCTTTCACTTTGACAAGCGTCAGCATTAGCTGAGGTGTCACCCAGCAGCGACTGCTGATTGCTGAGTTTTAACATCGGTGCTCAGCCATCAGAGTTGTCTGATGATAATGCTAGTTAGCTAGTTAATTAGTAGTAATAGATCCATCAATGAATGCACGGGTCACCAATAAAGCACAATTTGGTCAGTTAGCACCAGAACCCAAGAGAGCCTTCTGAAGTTCTGATTAATTCTTCAGTTCTGAATTCTGATGGAGGTTATCAGTGGAGAGGTAATTATGTCCCACTCCGGTGATAACTGATTACCAATTGCATGCTTCATGGTTTAAAGATTCTGTAATGCATGGGGTGTGTCGAT